CTCACTAGACCTCCATCAGATTCTTGCTAAAAAATCAGGTTCTTTTTGAAGAGCCATCCTACTGATTCTGCTTCATCCTGCACCGTGTCATCTTCGGTGGAAGCAGTCTTTGGATCTTTCCTTGGGTGTGAACACCTTCATTGGAGGTTATTGTTACTTCGTATCAGGTAAAACCCTCAACTTCCTTTTGGTTTCAGATCTGGTCTGGTTTAGGTTCAAGATTGATCATTGAAAATGCAGTTTTCTAAAATGGGAATGTGATTCCCATGTGGGAGAGGGAAATTTTTGAAATTTTGCCTAACCTTCCTGCAGGGTTCAGCCATCCATATGATGGATCTCTCATCCCTTCATAATTACCCTCCTGAACTATCATTAATTTGCAATAAAGGCCCCCCTGAACTTTCAGATTCTAATAGACTCCCTTTGTATTCTTTCAGTTGTTAACTTTGAAAAATATTCTCATGCGGCTGTTTAAATTTTCTAAATCTCCAAACTACCTTTTTTCTATTGATTTTTAAAACATGTTTTAGGGTTCAATTGATCATATTATTTTTCAATTTCCATTTGTCAATTTTTTTTATAATAATTTCCCCCTTGATCCCTTTTTCTCCAAAGTCCTGGTTGTGGGATTCGATTCTGTGTCAATGTTGGAACAAACCAGCTAACACACCAACGAGCCAACTCTCGATTGATCATTTGTTAATGGTTTATTTAGTTGATATCAGTTGCATGTTGTGTCTCTAAAACTGCCGCTAGAGATTCTACCGGTAGTCGGTAAACTGCCGCTAAAAGAATTTCCGCTAAACGCTCTAGCGACAGTTTTTACCGTTGCCTGTAAATATTTTAAACTATCGCTAAAAGGCTTTCTATTGGCAGTCGCGACTGCTGCTATTACTGGTTTGACTACCACTAAATGGTTTTTTAGTAGCAGCCATGAACTTCTTTAAAAGTATATTTTTTTTGCAAATAACCTATTTTTTTCTAATTTTCTTCAAATTACATGTTTTCTCTTCTCTGTATTCATTTAARTCGAAATAAAATATGAAAATGTGGGCACTCCGATGCTTAAGTTAGCGAATAAGAGATTTTAAGATAGCTAAATGTGAGAGAGTTGGAGAGCTACGAGAACTAAAAATTGCGCATCTACCTAGGTCTCAAGGGTTGATGCCCTTATATAGTTAGGTTGTCGTGGGTCTCGTGACATGCTCCCAAAATCCTCGGCCCATGACGTAGAGGTCCGTTCTGCTTTGGAAGGAGGATAACTTGCCAATTAATAAGGCATACCGTTTCCCTCTGATTCGGGTGGGATGAGGATAAGGCCTACGGTTACGTGGCGTGATCCTGAAAGGTTTAGAGACAACTGTCAAGCTTTTAGAGAGGTAGGTCGCTAGGTTGGCAATAGAGGTAGATTGCCCGGTCGCTAGGTTGGTGGTAGAGGCAGGTCACCAAGTCAGTGGTGGAGGTAGGTCGCCAGGTCRGTGATAGAAGTAGATCGCCAGGTCGACAGCAGAGGCAGGTCTCTAGGTCGGCAGCAGAAGTAGGTCGCCCGGTCGGCAGTAGAGGCAAGTCACCAGGTCGGCAACAGAAGTAGGTCACCAAGTCGGCGACAGAGGTAAGTCGCTAGCTTGGAACCCATTTTGGCTAAGGCAAGTTGTTGCCTAGGTGATGCTGGGATGTAGTCCAGTTGTTCTGATGTGCCATGTGTCATGATGTTAGTGGAGGGAAAAATCTACCCTCATCACTAACAATGGTAGCAAACAAGAAAGCATATCAGTAAACACATCTAGAATGTCAATATTGGAATTGTACTTTGAGACACATATTACCTCTACACCTCTTGAAGGTAAGTCCCAATCATCTTTTAGCATGCCTTGAACATTTTGAGGAAGTATGGATATTATCCTTCTCACCTGGTGTTGTACATCACTACATGCTCTAGTCACCTTTTCAAGGCTATCTTTTATTTGCCTGAATCGTTCATTGCTATCCTCATGCCCACAACCTCCTCTTGTTGATGTAGACTCTAATGCTTTATTTCTACAACTCATGCTCAGAGTGGAAGGAGTAACACCCAATCCATATGTTCGCACGTACCCATGTTGTTCCGCTCCAAATATTTGACCAAAGTCATCATCATTAGGGGTTGAGGACCCACCAGAAGTCGTGGCTTGTTGTGATGCCAAGTTCTCTAATTGTTCATACAAAAGACAACACAATTGTTGTGAGGCTAATATGGGGTTTGTACTAAATCATATAATTAACATTATATATGTGTGTGTATTCACTAATTCAATAGACAAACATTGCCCTTCCCAATTCTGCATCTATAGGCGTCCCATCTTTCCTTCTATGTGTTTTGATCCACACAACTCCTTTGCTTGGTTGTGCCCCATTACCTATTTCCTACATCTATATCCATACTAGGCATTAGACATTATCATAATTTTCAAGTAGTAGTATAGTTAACTAATTGTATTATCATCTGCTGATGCAATCTTGCTTTACTCTTGGTCCCCCCGGAGTGTGTGTATTTTTGTTGCGACCAATTTCCTCTAGCTATAGCACTCCATTTCTATAGTTTTATAAAAACTACAAGTGTAAGGCCATGTATATTGTGACACTCAAACAATATAGGTTAATCAATATAATTAAGAGATAATACCTTGCCCTCATCAAAGTTCCAAAAAGTGACAAGAATCTTCCATTGATTGCTAGGAACCCCATTTGGGCAATTCCGCATTGCCTCATCAGGGGTAACTGGATCATACATGGCTTTCAAGTCTAACTTTTAATCTTTCCATTTTCCCAATTGAGGACAATACCCATTTTTCACCTTTGTTGTCTATCTYAAATTTACCCTACAAAAAACACATTTAAACAAATGTATTAGCAATTAATGTATGAATTCAAACAAATAAACAGACCTAAATAAAAAAAATAAATCATACCAATACAAGATTCCAAATGTCCTCCTTATGTGGAGTTGGAAATGAAGTCCACTGCTTGAAACGTAGAGGACAGAGATCGCCATTCCTTGCAATTGTCCCCATAAACTTAACTAATTTCTTTGTATTTTCACTGATTCCTTGGCCTAACTCATTTAATGTTATGGGGATTTTTTTTCTCCTACTAACAAGTTCCAAATGTCGATAGCTCTTGTGGGGCCCCTGCCCCTCCTTTGCACTAAGGCATCTTTTTCGTAGTACATAAGAAATTAAAATATTCAAAATGAATATGATACAAATAAGACCCAAATAAAAAACTATTCATAAAATAATACCACCGGCTGAACCAACAGTATCTTCAGCCATAATTTCCTATGAGAAATAAAACAAACATTTTCAATTAATTTCAAATTGCATGTCTACCATAAAAAAACAATACAAGCATAATATTTTAAATTGCACTAGAATAACATATCTACTATCACATACATCTTTGTTTTGAATATTGAAAAAGTTACTTTACTACCAAACTGTAAGCAAAGTTACAACACCCCAAAGAGAGTCACGAGGTGTGACCTCTCTAGAAAGTACAAATAAGTGGAAGGAACCACATTTTAATTTATGCAATACTACAAGAAATATGACCTTTAATTACGGACAAAACCGTGGCTAAAGGTTAAAACCATAGCCTATGTTCGCGTGGCTATAGCCTATGGCTACGAAATAACTAATCCGTGGCTATAACCCACCTATAGCTACAGTATCTATCTGTAGCTAAAAGGCAAACACAAACCATATGAATCTTTAGCCACGGGCTGAACCGTAGCTAAAAGATGAATATAGCTACAGTTTTTAAATTGTCTGTAATTATATACCCAAATCTATAACCACGGATTTTCATAAAACCGTAACTATAGTTACGGCTTGGTACAAAACCATAGCTAAATGTACGAACCTATAACCATGGTTTATTGCTAAAACCAAAGATAAATACTCTAAGCTATAGCTACAGTTTTTTGACAAACTGTGGCTAAAAGATGCAATATATGCCCACAATTTCTTGGAAAACCATAGCTAATTGTTTCAATTTATAGAAAAATTGTGACTATATTCCAAATAAAATACACTACAAAAAAAAAGGTTATAGTGACAATTTTATTTTGTCACTAGATTCAATTTTAGTTATTTATAATTACGACTTTTCTACCACTACAAGTTTTCTACTCCTCAAACTTGCGACATACATGAGAAATCACCTATTTTATTTTCACATCACATCAAATATATAGATAAATTTCTACAAAAAGTTAACATGTTAATTAAAAACTAAAAATACATGGTAATATAACCTCGATACATCAACAAGTAAAAAATGTTTCAAATGTGGCAATTTGCCATGTTACATATAATAACCCACAACAAAAATAAAAAATATTGATCTCAAATCTCTTCATCCATGTATGTTGTTATTCCTTATAAATGCATTCAACCTGAAAACAAAATACAATGAAAATTAGATTTTTGAATTAATATATATGATAATTTCAAACATGAATGTAGTAGAGTGTTGTATGACTAAGAAATACGATCTCCAAAAAATGAATGTAACAGAGATTGAAGTGGATGAGTAAAAAGAATTTGAAATGGTAAAATTAATATTGAGTAAATTAGTGGAAATCTAACAATGCTTCAAAATGAGGGAATGTAGAACTAAATGAACTAATTTGGGGCAAAAAGAAAAAAGAAGAAAAAAAGAATCTGATAAAATAATCATGGAGTTGTTAAAGCTTTCGTGGACAAAGGTTTTTTGCTCAAGTTTATCCTTTACACAATGCAAGCAATTAAGCAAGGATTCCAAGGTCTTCGGTTATCCTCTATGTAGTCTACCCACAACCTCTTAAAGTCAAGTGTGTTAAGGCTGGAGGTTCGTACAGGAGCAGCACAAGTTGAATGGGGAGTACATAATTTGGTCTCCTATATGAAGGAGAGCATTTTGAGAACCAAAGCTCCCAGTCATGTATGCTTATTCTTTGGAAATCATCTTTTTCATGTCTTTTTTATTTGATCCAGACATTCAAAATAGCAGAATCACAAATAATCATGTTCTAGGATGACTGGGGAAGCCTATTTTCTTGTTGGATTTAGAGGTTATATATAAGTTGAAGTACAACTAATTACAGGATTTGTTCTTTGGTTTTGTTGTTAGAACTAGGGTGTTTCATGTTTTTGTTGTGCTATGTTGGAGAAAGAACATAAGTTATAGGTGAACTTATTGAGTAGTAAATTCAAAGAATAATATTAATCCTTTTTTCATAAAAAAGAGAACCAAACATTATTAAACTATAATCCAAATAAGTGGAAGATTAAAGGTGGTGCAAAGCAAGCCAAATCAATGGGGTCTTTATGTATATATTAGAAGTTGCTACACATTTCTAGAATACTTTACTCTAGAACTTCCTAGTTATACTTAAGAAGCAAGTAAATTTGTGTGGCCAAAATTCCTTTAGTAAAAGAAGGATCTAGAGCAAATAATATCAACCACAAATGCAAAGTCGGATTACCTTGCAACCACCGACTCTAGCTACTATAAATACAACCTATTGTATTGCAAATGTGCGTATGAGAGAAACAAAAAAAAATACAAAAGCTACTAGCATTCTCTCTCCTACTTCCTATCATATACTCTACTCTTCTATACCATTAGTGGTATCAGAGCTTTGTTTGATCAACACTGGGCGTAATCCTTCCTACCCATTATGAATACCGATTCAAACCGCTCTTCTCTTTCTCTTCCAATTTTCCATGGAGAAAATTATGATTTTTTGTCCATCAAAATGAGGACCTATTTTCGACCACAAAATCTATGGAAAATTGTTGAAGAAGAATTCAGTATTCCTGAAGAAACTTCTACTCTCAGAAAATCAAAAGAAGGTCATAGAAGAGAATCAACAAAAAGATTCTCAAGCCTTATTTTGCTTGCAGCAAGCAATGGCAGACGATATATTTCCA